TCTCATATAGATAATAGAGTCCTTTAAGGAGGATATAAATAACTCACTGAAAGAAATACAGGAAAACACAGGTAAAAAGGTAGAAGCCCTGAAAGAGGAAACAATAAATCCCTTAAGTAAATTCATGCAAATCAAACAGGTGAAGGAATTGAACAAACCAGTCGAACACCTAAAAATGGAAGTAGAAACAATAAAGAAAACACAAATGGAGGCAACCCCAGAAATGGAAAACCCTGGAAAGAGATCAGGAGCTACAGGTGCAAGTATCAACAACAGAATACAATAGAAAGAAGAGAAAATCTCAAGCGTAGAAGATACCTTAGAAGATATTGACACAACTGTCAAAGAAAATACAAAACATAAAAACCTCCTAACCCAAAACATCCAGAAAATCCAGGACACAATGAAACTCCCAACATAAGGATAATAGGAATAAAACAGAGCAAAGATTCCCAGCTCAAAGGACCCAAAAACATTTTCAACAAATATCATAGAAGAAAACTCCCCCAACCTAAAGAAATACATGGCCATAAAGTACAAGAAGCCTACAGAATTGCAAATAGATTGGACTAGAAAAGAAAATCCTCTCATCACATAATAATCAAAACATCAAATGTATAGAACAAAGAAAGAATATTAAAAGCTGTATGGGAAAAAGGTCAAGTAACATATAAAGGCAGACCTATCAGAATTATACCAGACTTCTCAACAGAGACCCTAAAAGCTAGAAGATCTTGGACAGATGTCATACAGACCCTAAGAGAACACAAATGCCAACCAAGACTACTATACCCAGCAATACTCTCAATTACCATAGATGCAGAAACCATGATATTCCATGACAAAACCAAATTTGAACATTATCTATCTACCAATTCAGCTCTACAGAGGATTCTAGAAGGAAAACTCCAAGACAAAGAGGGTACCTACACACACACAAAAAAAACAAAACAAAACCATAAAACAAAAAAAAAAGAAATTAATCATCTCACAACAAATCCAAAAGGAGAGTATCACATACACATAATGCCACCTACAACAAACATAACAGGAACTAACAATTATCTGTCTTTACTATCTCTCAATATCAACGGACTCAATTCCTCAGTAAAAAGACATAAGCTAACAGACTAGATACAGAAGCGGGATCCAGAATCTTGCTACATACAAAAAAAATACACCTCAATGAAAAAGACAGACACTACCTCAGAGTAAAAGGGTGGAGAAGAGTCTTCCAAGCAAATGGTCCCAAGAAACAAGTGGGAATTTTCATCCTAATATCCAATAAAAGAGATTTTCAGCCAAAGGTTATTCAGTGAAATGGGAAAGTATACTTCATATCTGTCAAAGGTAAAATCCACCAAGATGAACTCTCAATTCTAAACATCTATGCCCTAAATGTAAGGGCACTCACATTCATAAAAGAAACTTTACTAAAGCTCAAAACACATATTGCACCTCACACAATAATAGTAGGTGATTTCAACACCCCACTTCCACCAATAGACAGACCATGGAAACAGAAACTAAATAGAGACACAGTGAAACTAGCAGAAGTTATGAACCAAATGGACTTAACAGATATCTACAGAACATTTCACCCTAAAACAAAAGAATATACCTTCTTCTCAGCACCTCATGATACCTTCTCCAAAATTGACCATATGATTGGGCACAAAACAAACCTTAACAGATACAAGAATATTGAATTAATCCCATGTATTTTATCTGACCACCATGGCCTAAAGCTGGTCTTCAACAACAACAACAACAACAACACAACAGAAAGTCCACATACACGTGGGAGCTCAACAACTCTCTACTCAATGATAACTTGATTAGGGAAGAAATAAAGAAATTAAAGACTTCCTGCAATTCAATGAAAATGATGCCACAGCATATCCAAACTTATGGGACACAGTGAAAGCAGTGCTAAGAGGAAAATTCATAGCACTAAGCACCCTGGTAAAGAAACTGGAGAGATCTTACACTAGCAACCTAACAGCACATCTGAAAGCTCTAGAACAAAAAGAAGCAAACATACCCAAGAGGAGTAGACAGCAGGAAATAGTCAAACTCAGGGCTGAAATCAACCAAGTAGAAACAAAGAGAACTATACAAAGAATCAACAAAATCAAAAGCTGGTTCTTTGAGAAAATCAACAAGATATATAAACCCCTAGCCAAACTAACTAGAAACCACAGAGACAGTATCCAAATTAACAAAATCAGAAATGAAAAGGGAGACATTAACAACAGAAACTGAAGAAATTAAAAAACTCAACAGATCCTACTGCAAAAGCCTATAACACAACAAAACTGGAAAATCTAGACGAAATGGATGATTTCCTAGTCAGATACCAGGTACCAAAGTTAAATCAAGAGCAGGTAAACTAAACAGTCCCATATCCACTAAGGTAATAGAAGTCATTAAAAACCTCCCAACCAAAAAAAGCCCAGGGCCAGATGGATTTAGTGTGGAATTCTACCAGACCTTCAAAGAAGAGTTAATACCAACACTCCTAAAACTATTCCACAAAATAGAAACAGAAGGAATACTACCTAATTCATTCTATAAAAGCCACAATTACTCTATCACTAAACCACACAAAGACCCAACAAAGAAAGAGAACTTCAGACCAATTTTACTTATGAATATCAATGCAAAAATAATATAATACTCGCAAATTGAATGCAAGAACACATCAAAACCATCATTTACCATGATCAAGTAGGCTTCATCCCAGGGATGAAAGATTGGTTCAATATATGAAAATCCATTAACATATTCTAATATATATAAACAGACTCAAAGGAAAAAAAATCACATGATCATCTCATTATACGCTGAAAAAGCATTTGACAAAATACAACACCCCTTCATGTTAAAAGTATTGGAGAGATGAGGAATTCAAGGTCCATACCTAAACATAATAAAAGCAATATACGACAAACTAACAGCCAATATCAAATTAAATGGAGAGATACTTGAAGCAATCCCACTAAAATCAAGGACTAGACAAGGCTGCCCACTCTCTCCCTATTTATTCAATATAGTATTCAAAGTGCTAGCTAGAGCAATTAGACAACAAAAGGATATGGGGGGATACAAATTGGCAGAGAAGTCAAAACAACCCTGAGATACCATGTCACCAACCCTGAGACACCAATCAGAATGGCTAAGATCAAAAACTCAGATGGTAGCACATGTTGGCAAGGATATGGAGAAAAAGGAACATTCCTCCATTGCTGGTGGGGTTGCAAACTGGTACAACCACTCTGAAAATCAATCTGGAGGTTCCTCAGAAAATTGGAAATACATCTACCTGAAGGCCCATCTATGCCACTCTTGGGCATATAACCAAAAGATGTCCCTCCATACTACAAGGACACACGCTCCACCAAGTTCATAGTGGCCTTATCTGTGATAGACAGAAGCTGGAAACAACCCAGATGTCCCACACTGGAAGAATGGATACAGAAAATGTGGTTCATTTACACAATGTGATACTATTCAGCTACTAAGAACAAGGATATCATGAGTTTTGCAGGCAAATGGGTGGAACTAGAAAATATCATCCTGAGTGAGCTATCTCAGACCCAAAAGGACATGCATAGTATGTACTCACTAATAAGTGGATATTAGCCCCGAAAAGTACAGAATACCTAGGATATGATCCATAGAACTCAAGAAGGTTAACAAGCAGAAGGGCCCAAGTGAGGATGCTTCATTCCCACTTGGGAGGGAGAAGAAAACAATCATGGGAGGCAGAGGGAGGGAGGGACCTGGGTGGGAAAGAAGAGGAGAAAGGGGAACATGATCAGGTATTGGGGGAAGAGACAGGAGATAAACCCTGAGGGCCAGCAGAATGAATAGAAATATGCAACCTCAGGGGAGTAGGAAGGGGGGGAGCCTCCAGAATGTAACCAGAGACCTGGGAGGTGAGAGACTCTCAGGACTCAAAGAGAGGGACCTTAGATGAAATTCCAAACAGTGGGGAGAGGGAAATCATAGAGTCCACCCCCAGTAGAAAGACAGGTCTTGTTTATTCTTTTATGCCAATCCACAGTCAAAAATTATGACGTAGAATTCTTCCTGTCTAAAAAAACTGCAGGGACAAAAACAGAGAAGAGACTGAGAGAAAGGAGGTCCAGTGACCAGATCAACTTGGGATCCAGCTCAAGGGGAAGATCTAAGGCCTGACACTATTACTGATGCTATGGTGTGCTTACAGACAGGAGCTTAGCATGGCTGCTCTCCAAGAGGCCCAACAAACAGCTAAAAGTCAGATACAGATATTTACACCCAACCAATGGACAGAATTAGGTAAAAACTGGAAGCTGAGGAGGAAGGCAACCCCATGGGAAGACCAGCAGTCTCAACTTATGTGGACTCCTGAGGTCTCTCAGACACTGAGCCAGCAACCAGGCAGCATAGAGGTCCAGACACATATACAACAGAGGACTTCCTGGTCTGGCCTCAGTACAAGAAGCACCTTGAGGCCTCAGGGAGTGGTGAGGCCTAGCAGAGTGTGGGTGGGTGGGGGACCATCCTCTTGAAGACAGGAAGGAGGAATGAGATGAGGAACTATGGGAGGGCAGACCTGGAGGGGGGCAATGACTGGACTGTAAAGAAATAAAAGTAATAAAAACTCAAACACACACCCCATACATACACACAGACATAATAATATGCATGTACACATTTTTTTTAGAAGAACAAATATTGCAGATACCTTTAGGACTTACTGTATGGCTAACTGAACTCATTTGTTTGGTAAAAATTAACATAGTGTACTGGAGGTTGAACCAAGGCCTCATGCATGGTAGGCAGGAACTCTAAACACTGATCTTACTCTCAGCTTTGATTATGACTTCTCAGTTTGTTGACTGAGTTCTCCAGGAAGTAAGTTCCTTCAAGCTAATGACTCACTTGGCTTTGTGTCTCTAAAGCCTAGCTCAAAGTGCAAATGGATTCTCCAGCGTCCTTTCTGCACTTACCATTTTGGCCTGGAGATCAAGCAATTTTCTCGCACGAAATGGTTTGACTAGAAAACAGAGAGAAAAGTGGTTCTCAGCCTTTGCTTCAGCAAAAGAAGTCAGTCATAATCACCATGTGAGTCATATAATTTCTCACAACACATTCAAAATACAAATACCTCTTCAGTCAAGGCACTGTGCAGATACTCTCAGATTAAAGTACTCAAAAACCAATTTTCAGAATAGGAGTGTTGTCGTGCAACTAGTGCAGGTAGTTATTTACGTTTAAAAAGGATGACACAAATACTGCCTCTGCACAGTGGAAGGAATTTAGCTGGGGTGAAAACACTTACCATTCTCTTTCTTGGTCAGTAAATATAACAAATGGCAAACATAAGGGCACTGTTAAAATAAAAACAATGAGAATTGACAATGTTATTTCAAATAAAATAACACCATAGCCTCCTCAAATGTCAATCATATGCTAAGTAGAAGAATTTCAGGCCGTCGGTGAACAATAATTTTCTTATCAAAAATGCTGGATACAAGTGATTAAATGAACTGAGCTATTTCCAGGCACTTAATGAAAAAGCTGAAGGATGATACCTAAGTCTAAACACCAAATTCCCTGGTGAGTTATATATACTGTTTACACATAGCTTAAAGATAAGCTCCACAATAATTTTAATGTGTCTGTGTTTGACTATGGCTTGTTGCATGAAGACACTATTTTTCACTTTTCATTTTTGTGAGTTATATGCCCACATACGTGTATGAATGCATGCATCCTTGCACGGACACACTTGCAGATCTGATTTGAATTGTTGAATGCTTTCTTACTAGGTATGCTCAAACCTGTATGTGACAGTGATATTTTTAGGAAATTGTTTCAATTGGCAACAAGATGAGTGAGAATTATTGTTTTGCCTTTTGCTTGATCTTTATGTGTGACTACTTGCCTACATATATGTATGTACACCACATGTCCACCTGGTGCCAAAGCAGGACAGAAGAGGACATCAGATCCCCTGGAACTGGAGCTAAAGATAGCTGTGAGCCATCATGTGGTGTTGGGAACTAAACCCAGGTCCTCTACAAGAGCAAGGAAAACTCTTAACTGCTGAGGCATCCCTCCTCCAGTCTAAAATTTTTGTTTTCAAATATAAAAACAATGTGGACAATTTTGAACAAAATTTTAAGAAAATTTGCTTAGAAAAAATATGATGTTTATAATCAATGGAATTTTTCATGTCATTTGCCAGAAAATAGATCTACTAGAAGAGAATCATATTGAGAGAATTAAACCAGTCTCAGAAAGACAACTATTATTTTTTCTCTCATGTGTGGCTCACAGAATTTTTTAGATATATAAAATCATGTATGCATATATGACTTGAAAGTAGAAGTAAAACAGTCTAGAGAACAAAGGGAATTGATTAAGGAGTGGGAGAGTTTGAAAAAGGCAAGTTAGGAATTATGAGGGAATATGTTCAATATGTAACACAGCCTTGTATGACAATGTCCTTATGTAATACAGCATCATGTACAATAAACACATACAATGAAAACTTCAAAAAGTCTTTAAAATTACACATTCCTTTCAATACTAGCTAGTATTTAGTAAGTGAATAGGTATGGCCTCCATAGACTCATGTTTGAATGCTTAGCCCACAGGGAGTAATATTATTAGGTGTGTCCTCGTTGGTGTACATGTGTCATTGTAGGAGTGGGCTTTGCCACTCTACTCCTGTTTGCCTTCAGTATAAGATGTACAACTCTCAGCTCCTCCAGTACCATGTCTGCCTGCACACTGCCACGCTTCACAGCATGATGATAATGGACTAAACCTCTGAAACTGTAAACCAGCCCTAATTAAATGCTGTCCTTTATAAGAGTTGCCTTGCAAGCACCAATCCCTGACACTATTAATGATTCCCTGTTATATTTGCAGACAGGAGTCTAGTACTGCTGTCCTCTGAGAGGCTCCACCCAGCAGCAGACTCAGTCAGATGCAGACACCCACAGCCAAAGAGTGGATGGAGCTTGGGGACACTTATGGAAGAATAAGAGGAAGGATTGCAGACCAGAGGAGGGTATAGGAACTCCACTGGAAGACCAACAGAGTCAACTAACCTGGACCCATGGGGCTCTCAGAGTCTGAACCATTAACGAAAAAACACACACAGGCTAGACCTAGGCCTCCCTGCACATATATGTAGCAGATGTGGAGCTTGGTCTTCATGTGGGTCCCAAACAACTCGAGCAGGGGCTGTCCCAAAAGCCGTTTCTTAACCATCGGATATGTTCTTCTATCTGAGCTGCCTTGTCTGAACTCAGGGGGAGAGGAAGCGCCTAGCCTTGAAGAGACTTGCAGTGCCAGGGTGGGGGGATACGCAGGGGGCCCCATTCACTCAGAGGAGAAGGATAGTCGGAGGGGGTGACATGGATGGGGGCAATGAGTGGAATGTAAAGTGAATAAGTAAAACAATAATAAAATAAAATGAAAGTTATATATAAGAAACAAAGATTATTTTGGTAATTGAAAAGCAAAATTATATGCAAAAGTATATTAAAATATCTTAATGTTGCTTTAAAAATAGAGAAATTTAAGTAATAGTATAGAAAAATTAAATTGTTGCTTAAACATTTAAAATGCTATGAAAAAAAAAGAGTTGCCTTGATCATGGTATCTCTTCACACACAATGGAAACTTTAACTAAGACACTGAGATACAAAATTAAAACTTTTATCCTTGGAGTAGAGTGATGGCTCAGTGGCTAAGAGCACTTGTCCTTCCAGAGGGCTCTAATTTGATTTCCAGCACACAACAAAGTGGCCCAAAATCATCTGTAATTCTAGTTCCAGGGGACCTAATGCCCACTCTGACTTCCTTGGGTTCCTGTCTGCACAAGGGGCAAATATATATACTCAGGTGCACACAAATACCCATAAGTACATTTTTGAAACTTTTGACCTGGTTTCCACTTTAAAGCATTTTATTCTATGTTATACTATTCAAAAGATCATTTTTAGTGATACCTCATTTCCCATGGGGTAAATAGACTTCTTTTGTGTGCAGGGCTCTGCACATGTTAAGTAGATGGTGACTCTGAGTTCTAACTCCAACCAATTATACCATAATTTAAACAACAACTTGTCTACAGTCTGGCAAACAGGACCCACTCAGTACATTTTTTACTAAATTGCTGGATGACCCAACTTCCTCATTTTAAGTGTCCATATGATGAAGGCATAGTTCATTGATAGAGGGTTTACCTAACATGCATAAAGCTTTGGGCTTATATATAGGTCTGCTGGTCCAGACCTATAACCCTGGCACTCTGGTGGTAGAAATAAAATCAGAAGTTTAACATAATCCTCAGCTACAAAGTGAGTAGGAAGCCAGCCTAAGATACTTGAAACCCTGTCATAGACAGATGGATGGATGGATGGTGGATGGATGGATGGATGGATGGATGGATGGATGGATAGGCAGGCTGACAGGCAGACAGGTGGGGTGGATGCCACTCCCATTCATTCCTGTATTGCCAATAGCTAGTTTGAAATTACACCTGTTGTAACTAAAATAGTATGGCCCTCACATGTAAACATTACTTCTGTTTGTCAATATTTGCTGTCAAATGTGAAAAAAGTCAATTATAGCTGGGCATGGTGGCTCACAACTTTAATCCCAGGACTTGAGAGGCAGAAACAGGCAGATCTCTATGAATTCAAGGCTACCCTGGTCTACGTATCGAGTTCCAGAACAGCCAGAGCTGATCTCAGAAAAGAAAAAAGAGAAAAAGTCAACTATTTAGTGGAAACAGAAAAGAAGGCCAGCAGATAAAAGCTCAGACTGTGTAAACCTAATCCTTGGACTGAATACTGGAAGGAACAAACCAACTTCCAGAAGTTCCCTTGGTCTTTACATGCTTGCATTGGTGAGTGCACAGCCACACTACACTCACTCACTTAAGTCATACTCACATGCATGTACATGTACACACATACATACAAATAATAAACACACTAGTTTTACAAAAAACAACACAATGGTAGTCTTTACACAAATCTGCATATTAGTCGTCATTACCCTATACTTCGAAGGAGAGCATATTCTAAACTGCTTTTTCTGTACTTAGAAATGGATTCAGATAGACTCTAAACATAATTTTAAGAAGAAAGAATTTAGATTTCAGTACAAATTCATTACCTCACACCTCTAGGATATGAGCCATTAGCAACACTATTCATCATGTTGAATACAAAATGAATGCCATCCAATTGCTGGCCTGAGGCTCCAGCTGGTATTATGGGGAATCTGACATTCTCCTTTAATCACATCTAGAAAGGAAAAATCCACATGCATCTCATATATTCTAGTTGCCTTGATGGCAAATATTTAACTGCCACATCTGAGTCACTGCACAGTCAGAATCCTATCAAAGTCTATGAAAATGACTTTTAAGAAATATGACTTTTAAAAGCTAAACCCCGCTGCTAGCCATGATGACTGACTCATACCTACAGCCCCCACACTTTTAAGAAGGCAGAAAGATAGTGAATTCAAGGTTATCCTGAACTATACACTCTGTCTCAAACACACAAACCAGAAAATAGCACCAGTGAGATGGCTCAGCAGGTAAAAAGTGCTTGCAGCATAAGTCTGATGACCTCAGGTTGATCTCTTGGAACCCACAGTAGAAGGAGAGAACCAAGTCCTAAAAGTTGTTCCCTGATATTCACATGTCCACCATGGTAGATACATACCCACACTCACATACAGTCCACCATGGCAGATACATACCCACACTCACATACAGTCCGCCATGGCAGA